ACCTGAGTCTTAAAATAACATCTTCGTGCATCATGTGAAGTATCCTTAGGAGCCCTGGTGGTGTCATGACTAAGAGTTGGGCTGTGATCTGAAAGGTCCACAGTCTGAACCCACCAGCCGCTCCGTGGGAGAAAGACGGGGCTTTCTCCTCCCTCAAAGAGTTACAGCCTCGGAAACCCAAAGGGGCAGGACCACCCTGTCCTACAGGGTTGCTATGGCAGTAAGTTTGATTTGGGGTATGGAATATGTCATTTGATGCCCTGGCTGCTGCTTCTATGGGCACTGATTATGGATCCCCATACAATGAAGTCCTTGACAACTGCAGTCTTGTCTCTACTTATCGAGAGGTTGCTTATTGATCCAGCTGAAACGATGTTTGTTTCCTTTATGCTGAGGTATAATTCCTATGATGATTGTAACATTTGATAAACAACAGAATGCTATTAATTTTAATACTGAGTTAAGATTAATCTCACAAAATGTCAGCAATTTGGACAATAAAGAAAAAAAATCATCTAACAGGCATTTTTTAAAGGGCTTTCACATAAAAAAATGCTTTATATAATCACGACCTTTATTCTAAAGCACTTCCGGGTGGTCTTAAACCTCTTACCTTTCAAACAGCATCTAAGGGTGGTAACTCTTTGGACCACTCAGGGATTTCTAAATGGAATTTTACCGTTGGATACTCCCCATCTGGAGGACAGAGGTAGGACACACTCACTAGGGAAATTGGTGCTATATATTAACATCAGATTCACTGTCTTTTAAATGCCATTACCTTACAGCATCTGTAAATATAGAAAGTAAGTTGTTTTCAAATAAAATTTCTACATCAGGAAATTGCACCAAAATTTCATTTCGCCTTCTTAAACTTCTAAGATGAGCAATGCCCTCTGAGCCTATTTTATGAGGAGGAGGAGAAATTTTTTTAAACCAAAAAATTACTGTAAGAGATCAAACTAGAAAAATATCTCTTTTGGGCACAGCTCCAGTAAATATTCTTAAATAGCATCTCTTCATTTCAATCTGAAGAACACAAATATTTTAAATGGTAATAAGCTATTGAAATAGTTTATGTAAATGATGCTCTGATAACATAATGGTGGCAAAAGAATTTACACATGCTAATATAACTCAGTCATATAAAAGACGTGATATTATCACTAAAAGTTTTAAAACATTGCTAAGAATACAACTGCTAGTTAACTTTCTAAGAAGAATTGCTTCTAGATCTAGCTCTAACAACAGCAAAAAAAAAAGCCCATTCTTTCAGATTTAAAATTCAGCGTCCATTAACACTAATCTTGAGAAAAAACAACAAAGACTCATCTTGATATGCACGTGATACAACCCACTCACGCAAGAAAGAAAAATAGGTATAAAAGTTACATAGCTTCCACCATCATGCTTGAAGCCTTAAAAATATCTCCACAAGTAACATATTGCCTTTTTAAACACTATGCAAGAATAATCCTTGAAGTTGCTTGGATTTCATGTTTCATACAACCTCAAGCCGGCATGTACAAAAATCAATGACATTAACTATGTCCATTTTTTTTCAAGGTTTCAGAAGCAAGATCAAAAATCTATTAGCACAGTTGCTAACATGAATATGTTTGACATAAATGTGGAGAATAAGTATCTATTCTCTGACTTCAAGGAAGGAAGATTGTTCCTTTGCTTCTTGCTCCAAGCTGTAAAAGCAAGTAACCAGAGAACACGGGTTTTAAATCTGTCCCGATCAATCAATCACAAAGCTGTACTCAACATTTCCACTTTCATACTCAGTTATGAAAACCAGCCAATCATTAACTGCCATGCTTCATTACCTTGGCTCCTCAAAGTTTGCCAGCCCTGACCCGCGAAGCTTGAAGGGAGCCAACTTCTAAATGTCTCACCTTTGAAAACCAGCCAATCCCTCACCCTATCTAATAACCCTATCGAGTGCCTTGCTGGGAGGGACTGTGTACTGCAAGCATAGTTCTCTCTTGCTTAGAGTGTTAAATTCAGCCATGTTTCAGCTCTATGTCAGTAGTGGTTTCCTCCCTAAATAACACAATAAATATTACGGTTATTTTGGATAGTAGCATTTTTCTTCATAGAGATAGAAAGATGTCTTTGTTATAATTCCATTCTTAAAAAATACCTTTCCCTTTTAATATAATTATAAGCTTGTTTCTGTCACTAATTTGCTCTGCCAAGTCACCTGACCTAAGACTGTTTCCTCCTCTGTCACACAGAAGTCTTGGACACCTGTGCTACAATTACACATGAGCGTAACAGTGAAAAGAACTGTCAAAAGCTGTATGAGTCCTAAAAAGCTATAAAGAAGTCCTGGTGGCAAAGCGGTTACACGTTGGGCTGCTTACTGCAAGGTCAGCAGTTCGAAACCGCCAGAGGTAGATGGAGCTTTCCACTCTCATAAACAGTCACTGTCTTGGAAACTCACTGGGGCAGCTCTACCTTGCCCTCACCGTGGCTATGAGTCGGTGGCAGGGCATTTGAAGTGTCAAGAGCCAAATAACTGTGAGACAGCTAACAACATGCACAGAATGAAAGGGATTCATACTTGAAAAGCTATTAAAACCAAGGGTTATTTAATGTCCAAATCAAATTAATACCAATAAGAAAAAAAATGTCATAGCTACACACTATAGATCGTTATCAGGATAAGCAGAGCAAAGACTGACGTGGTCCAGGATTTCACTTTACTTGGATTCAACAATCAGCAGCCGTGGAAGCAGAAGTCAAGAGATCCCATGACGTACTGCATTGAGTAACTCTGATGTACAAGAAGACCCCTCTTAAGTGGAAAAGCAAGGGCGTCGTCGCACTTAGGACGAAGGTGCACCCAGCCCAAGCCATGGTATTTTCAATCACCTCGCGTGTATGTGAAAGTCAGACAAGGAATCAGAAGGACTATGGGAGAATCGATGCATTTGAATTATAGTGTTGGCAAAGAATATTGAAAATACCATGGACTATAGGATGGTAACATCTTAAGAACTATAGCCATGATTGGGTGTTATGATTCAATTATCCTTTCCATCAGCCTGCTGTTTTTGCTTAATCCTAAGCAAAAGAATCTTTGAGGTGACAACATGGTTACACAGATTCAGGGAAATGTAGTCTCTACTATGGCCAATTATTAGTATTAGTAAGTGTGCCAGTCTGGGTAGACTAGAGAAACAAATTCATAAACACACATATGTGTATAAGAAAGAGCTTTATAAACAAGAGCAATTGAACATTGAGAAAACACCCCAGCCCAGTCCAGATCAAGTCCATAAGTCTGATATTAGCCCATATGTCCGATATCAATCTATAAAGTCCTCTTCAGACTCACGAAACACATGCAATGATGCCGAATGCAGGTCGATCACAGGCCAGTGGGTAGAAAGTCTTTGGATCCAGTGGCATTGTAAGCATCTCAGCGTTGGCAGGGGCCTCTACGTGGCTTCTCCGGCGTCAGAGGTCTGGTTGCATCAGGGTGGGTCCATGTGGCTTGTCAGCTCTATGTCTCCCAGGGTGTAGCAGAGAGTCTCCCGCCTCCAAGGAGGAAATTCCAGATTTCCCAGAATCTCAGGAGAAGGCCATGCCCACACAGAAGCCTCAATGGCTATGATCCAATTGACAGACGAAAGTCGTTCAACTTGATTTCCCCCTCCGTGAACACTGTTGTTGTTTAGTATCTCCCAAGTCAGCTCTGACTCATCGCGTCTCCATGTGCTGGAACGAAACCCTGCAGGATCTGTGCCAGCTTCCCGGTCATTGTCATGTTTGATGCCCATAGTTGCTGCGATTGTGTCAGTCCATCTGTTTTGAGGGTCTCCCGCTTTCTGCTGACCGTCTACTTAACCAAGGATGATGTCTTTCCTCATAATATATCCAAAGTCGGTGAGACCATCTTTGTTTCCAAGGACCATCTGGCCGGCTTCTTCCAAGACGGACTTGTTCATTTCCTGGCACATTCCTTGTTCATTTCCTGTGTACTGCACACATAAACACAAATGTGTGCGATAATTGGCCATAATCCAGATGGAGACTACACTTACTGTGGTAGTTCTATAATCGTTTGTCCATTTGAGGAGTAAGAATGAAAGGGTGGAGTCTAGTCTGTCAATTGGACTTTGAGGCCCGGAACCATGAGAAAAAGAGCCGGCTGTCTACTCCTGTAAAGATTCACAAACTCCCAGGGGCAGTTCCATTGTCTTAAAGGGTCGCTGGAAGCTGGAATTAACTCCATAGCAATAAGCTGGGGTTTGTTCTTCTATACTCCTGTGGGGAACCCTGGCAGCACATCCGTTCCCTCGGCTGCTAACCAAAGACTTGGTGGCTCCAACCTAACTAAGCAAAGCCTGGCAACACGCATGCTCCTGGAAGATTCCAGTCTGGACATCCCTATGGGGAAGATCTGCTCCATCACAGGAAGCCACTCAAACTCAAAACACACTTGATAGTCCCTAACAACAGCGATGCCCCTACCTATGACAACGTGTATCCTATGGAGGAAGTCCTAAAGACTGGCTTCTGATGGCGGAAATATCCGAGACAATAACCATTGACCTATCTTTGCTGAGCCTGCAGGTAGAAATCAGAACTATCAGCAGGCTACATAATGTGCGATATCTACTTTATCCACCACTGCTGGGTATCTGGGGGGCCATTGTAGAACACAGAAATCATTTCAACTCCATTAAATTTATGGAAGTCACCACAGCAGACTTTGTGTGCTGCAAAACGGGTTAGCCCATTTCTACATGGACACTAGTCAAGGTCTTCCCTTTCCAGTGATAATGAACTTGGTGATCTGGCTCAACACTCCAAAGGAAGGCTGACAAAACATCGTTTTACTTAGAAAGGAAGAGCAAATATCTGAAAGTAACCAGGAAAGCTACAATAGTGCAATTATATGTAATCTTGTAGTGGCTGCAACTTGAAACACTCTTGTTAGAAAATAACAAAATTGAAACAGTTTTGTGGAGGGTATTGTATACCTGGGTCAAAGACGGAGACTTTCGACTTCTGCAAAGAATAACAGTCTTGGAACCCCACAGGGGACGTTCTCCCCTATCCTATAGGGTGGCTTTGAGTTGGAAATGACTCGATAGCAGTGAAGGAGTAATTGTGTACCTAGAAATAGACCAGATGTAAGATGCATCTTATAGTACAGTGCTTGTACTGCTCTAGTCACCATGAGCTAAACACCCCAAAGTTAAGAGTTACAGACCCCAACTACGACACATGTCACTAGATTCCCTCCTAAGGTAAATAATAATAGCAGCAGGACATTAAAGAACCCATCAGCAGGGAAAGGCACACTTAATCCAAATGATACATTTAAACCAAGTGGAAACCTGCCCAAACTCTTCACATAGCCCCTCCATCTCCCTGTATTATGCAAGCCGCAGCATTTCAAGCCAACTCCCTTATTTCCATAGTGAGTCCTGTCAACGCTGAGGTAATAGAACTGGAAAAATTCATCACTCCACAATGATACTCAAGTATCAGAATTTATTTCATTTGGTAAAAATTTTGTCACCGCCAAATAAAACTAAGGCAAATGTCCTAAACTATTCAAGATTTTTTGAGCAACTATTTTGTAGAAAACAACTCTTGGAGAGTCTCAGATCCAATCCTACAATAGTTTAGCACTCGTTTTCCCCTTTGGCCCCTTCATGCCCCATCTCTCAAGTCATGGGCTGGGGAGTGGGGCATGGGACAGCCATGGGAGGGAACTAATCAGCATGCATTTATGCAGTTCATCTGCTTGAGTTCTAGTCCCACAGGTTTGTCCCCAGCCCCACCAGGGAGAAAACTATGTTTTATTCATCAATGAACTCCTAAAATCAAAACAAATGCCTGGTATATAAAGTCATCTCCATGTCTAATGTGTGGCAAGCACCTGGTTGGGCACGGGGGAGAGAGCATGCCTAGCCATGCCCTCCAGGAAGCTCCAGTTTGGGGCCACTAGGAGAAGGTGGGCTACAGGGATAGAACCAAGCCATGAGAGGCCAATTGGCACAGTCCTATTGCCTGTCTTTTCTCCCACTCCCAATCAAAGTTTAAATGAAGAACGAAAGCAGGCGTTCTCTTCTGAAATAAAAACCAGCAACTCAGAGGCAGCATCAACTCCAGGGCAATAAACTTGGTTTGGTTTTAACCCCGATGAGCTCCATATTCCCGTCTCCAACTCAAGATGTCATCATGGAAGCAGTTACAAGGCTCAGCAACAAGGAAGCCAGAGCTTAGATCGGACTCCCGGCTCCATCGTTTAGAGTCTGTGACTGTGTGTTGGTCACCTTTAACCTCTCTGTGCCTAGTTTTCTCATCTGTTAAATGGGGACAATAACAGCTCAAAGCCCATCCGGTTGTTACAAACGAGTCTTGCCTGGCACCAGTGTTCTCTATTGTGCTTACTATCAGCGTCGCTGGGTGGCATACATGGTTAAGCGGGTGTTTTAAGATTGGCAGCTCAACCCCACTCTCAGGCACTTTGCAAGAGAAGCCGAGTGATCTGCTTCTGAAAGGGCATCCCCATGAAAACCTACTGGTCACCAGTCGACTCTGCACCACGCAGGGTCGCTCAGAGACAGAACTGATGGTCACTTGTTGGGTCTGGTGTTCACTATTACTACTAGCATTTCAGTGTGTCAAACAGGCATCTAAAATGTAGCGTGTCCAAAACAGAACTCAGGGTGGTTAGCCCAAACCTGGTTCCCTTGTATCATCTCATCTCAGTAGGGAGTACTGCTACCCTCCCAGCTCTTCCTGCCCCCAACGTCACGAAGTCATCACTCCTCCGTTTCCCTGTCAGCCCTGCTTTCCCAGTCTATCAGGAGCCCAATCGCACAGAATCCCCTCCACAACCACATCCCCTGAACCCAGCCACCATGGCCTGCGCAGTAGATGCCGATCGCCCCTTTTCCACAACACTCCCACCCCCCTCATAACACCACAGTTAATTTTCCATGCTCTACGACTTACATCTGATTCTGTTCCTTAAAGGTCTTCTTTTTCTTTTTTAAAGCCCTTTATTGTGAATTGGGTGACACGTCTACTCCTGTAATGAGTTACAATCTCGAAACCCCACAGTGGCAATTCTACGTTGGCCTGCAAGGGCGCGATGAGTCTAAATCAACTCGACGGGAGTTGAGGCTGGTTTGGGTTTCAGAGACAGATCATGAGTTTTACCTTCAACCATTCACATACACTTTGTTTCAACTCATTCATTACAATCCCTTCAACCTCCCACCATTTATCCCACTTGCTCCTGGTGTTTCTTGTTTCTATCCTTGTTCTTCCCTAACCCTCTATACTTTATCCTTGGGTAAATGCTGCCCTTTAGATCTTAAAGTGGTTGATTATTCGAACATGCGAGAGATGATGTTCCATAGACCGAGGTCTCCCTGTGTCTCTGTCCATCCCTCCTTGAAGAAAACCTGAACTTCACTATGGACTACAGGGCCCCTGTGGCCCGGCCACTGCCTGAACCCTCACCTCCAGCACTGCCCCTCACTGCTGCCGCCAGGGGAGTACAGTCCTTTGGAGGGTGGACTCAGAAGTCAGATGGCCTTAATTCAAATACTGCCTCCTTCATGATTGAGATGTGTAACACTGAGCAAATGCTTAAGCCTTGTTGTGTGTGTTCCCTTCCTCATCTGTCAAAAGGGAGATACTCGTCCTTACTACTAGAGGACTGTTGTAGAAATTCAAGTCCGTGGTTGCAACAGTGTCTTACACATAGTAAGCTCTACATGTGTTTACTGTTATAACTGGTATTCCTCCTGCCTGAGATATTCTGACCTCAGAAAGCTGCGTGGCTCTTCCTCTCTCATCATCTGTGTCAGCTGTCACCACCTAGAATGGCCTTCCTGATCTAAAACCACCTGTGCTGCCCCCTCACTGTCATTCTCTTATCTTCCTTTACTTTGCTACACATCTACCTGAAATTACCTAACATACTTGTTTGCTGCTTGTCCACTTCCCCCCAATGAGACAGGAGCTCTAGTTCTACTGTAACTCAGACCCTCACTTTGAAATGCACACAGCTCTTATCCAGGCCTGGAGACCTATGTCAATTAGTAACAATACTCTGCCAAGACAGCCTTTCATTTCCTCGTTTGATTCTTGATTCTCCCATTGTGGAAAACAGAAAAAGAAAGCCAGTTTGGGAGACCTACTTTTAGACACAAAGCTAGTAACCAGGTGAACTGAAATTTGAAAGTTGGGGCTTTCTGACTTCCGGACACCTTTAACAAAACAAAGTATACTGTTGCACTAAAGTTACAGGAACGTGATTACTCAATGTTTTACAGAAGTCCACCTTGACGATGGCACAGGAGTCTTGTCTTCAAAGTTCCTAGTAAATCCTTGTTCAAAAGTTTCACAAGTATCACCTTATAGTACTAACTTCTCAACAATCTACTAACTTTTTGGCAACAGCCCCATAATTCAAGCTGTCACCTATGATGACCGGATATTCCAATTCAACAGATCTACCACCCCTAAAACTCATGGCACATCTGTATTTATTATGCTAGCTCCAACATGCTAACAGCTTTCTCTGCAAAAGCCACACCAGGGGGACAGGGTAATTCCCAAGCGCCTTGTGATATTGACATCAAATATTACTTGACCCTTGTTCTATCAAGTTCAGTGCCCATAGGCTCAGATGTTGTCCATGATCAGACTGGGGAGAGGGGGTGGTTGGCGAAAAACTCGGGGGTTGGGGTCCAACCAAACCAAACCTACAGGGCCAATTACCTCAGAAGAGATTGTCTTTATTTCTTCTAGCAAATTTATAAGCTTATGCTACCTCCGACTCTTTCAGGTCCCTGAACCTGTGGGAAGGCCAATCCGGGAGGCCAAAACATGGTTTTACCGCTTTGTTATAGAAAAAGGAAACTGAGGCAGCAGGTCGTTATTGTGACTTATCTTCGGTGATTTGGTCACGTTCAGGACTCAAAAGGAAGTCCAGTTATCACAGTCCTAGTTTCTGAAGGTACCTTCCATCTCAGACTTAGTATGTGAAAGAAAGTACCTTCCATCTCGGACTTAGTATTTGAAAGTACCTTCCATCTCGGACTTAGTATGTGAAACTCCATCCAGAGTAAAAGGGATGAAGAAAACGGACCTAAGTCCCTTCATTAAGGACTCTCGCACTGCCTGCTCCAGGAACCCCTCGGGGCCCCAAGGGGGAAGGCTGCAGCCCCCGCCCCGCAGGGCACTGCGTCATCTCCCCGCACCCAGGTCCCTCCCAGCCCTGGAGCGCTCCCGCCCAGAGCAGACACCTGTCTCCCTGGCCTCCTTCCAAAGTCCCCCTGATCTCCCAAGGCTTAAAATGTCCCCGCAGCCACGGCCACCACCAGGGCTGCAAGCAGCCAGCCGGCCTCCGCAGACCACGGGAGCTGCAAATACATGGAAACTTACTGTTTTCGTACTGCTGAGCGTCACGACGGGGTGACGTCACGGGACCCGGCGTTCAGGGAGGTCAGGGCGCGGGCGCGGGCTGCTCCGCCCCCTAGCTCCTCCCCCAACGCCGTGGGCGGGCCAGACGCCCCCTATCCCCACCAGCCCCGCCCTCCCTGTGGATGGGGCGCAGGCGCAGACGGCCTGTGCGGCCACCTCCCGAAGAGCTTGGCCCTAAGGTGGGGGCTGCTTTGCGACAGCTTTGCCTAGAGCAGGAGGTAACGACACCCCAGAACATAGCCAACAAGCTGCTCCCAGGGCGCGGAAGTGCACGCCACACTTTTGAGATCGTTTCTCCACAGACACTGTCTTCCTTCACACGTTCGCTAAAAGTGCTCCACATTCGGGCTTTTCTACGGTGGCTCCTGGTCCTCAGGCTGGAACCTGACCCCGCCCCGCCTTGGTTTGGCCCCGCCCCGACTGCGGCATGGCCCCGCCCCGACTGCGGCATGGCCCCGCCTCTGCAGCTGCTCTTCCGGCTCCGGGGCGCCACGCCCACTTCCCTGTCGGGACACCGCCTCCATCCCTTTCTTGGGACGTTATACCCTGTTCCCTTCCTGAAGGCATTTCCCTTTTCGAAGTGGTGAAACTACTTGCAGGCCCCC